CCGGAGAACGGGCTGGCTTCATGGGCGTTTTCGTGGTTTTCCCTATGTGTAGCCTGGATACGAGCTACTTACCTTTGAAAGTCCACCAAGAAGGCATCCCTCCTCTTATGCAGGCAGCCCTCGAGCGCTTTGACGTAAATAAATAAACCAAACCAAACCCTTGCATTCTGGGCTGACGTTAGTAGTGTAATTTTTCTAGCAGTCGTTGCCAAATAACTATCCTAAAAATCTCTTACAGCACGTTTTCAACATAAAAGCTTAAGCTACATATATTATTACCTTTCAGATAGAACGATTTAGGCTACTTTTTTTATCTTTATACACCTATGTGAGTATTTGAGCTGCATCCATTCTTCCAGTCGCAAGTCATTTCCCACAATCAATTAAGTACTTTCTTGATGAAACGTTCTACCTTCCGCTCGCGAAACGTTTATCCACCTATTCGTATAATCCTTGAAATTAGAATTCGAAACACCCCTTTTCCTTCTTCTTAACGCGGCTGAAAGAGAGGGAGCTAATTGTTTCATATTTCTACGCACCGAAAGTGAATCCCATTTATAACGTTGACCTTGACTTCATAACTTTGATCTTGATCTACCGACTAGCTATCTTTCACAGGACTAAGCTTAATAGAATTAACATAATCCACCTTTTATAGTACTTTAATTTTTCTCGCCAGTGTGTATAAGATGACATTTTTATTTAGAAATACATAACGATTTTGTTAAATCTCGTAAGTTTCTTGTTCCTGTCTTTAAACTAGCTCATAATTATACTTCATCGTTTGTTCCCTGGCATTCTGCCGATTAATTCCATCTGGTATAATTTCAAAAACATATGATTCTAAAGTTATGTTCGATTAAATTTTAAAATATCAGATGCTATCCAATAACAAGCAAAACGTTTAAGAGCGATAAGTAATAATACGATAAATAATTTTCCACTTCATAGCTATCAAGGAAACGCAATTTCTCCTTTGCTCTTTCTCTAACTGCATATAGAAAGAGGCAGATATGTGGGTTCTAAATTTTTAAGGTTGATGCTGAATTTTTAAGACTGACTTGCAACCTTTTCCACTAGAGTTCATGTAATGCTTTTATGTAATTAACTATGTATTTACTTAATACCTGAATAGTATATATTAGGGGTTTTCAACCGGTGGTATGCAAGAGAAAACCAGGTGGTACCCAAAGAAGCAAAGTATTTTTAACTATTAAATTCAAAAATTAAAACCCCGACATCCTTATTGAAGTTTTTCTCTAATACTCGTAAATGTATGCGGTCTGAAAAAGCTTTATTCAATAGTGGTGGTGGTAGTAGTACTTTGTAGTGGTGATACAAAAGGTTTTCAGTTTTTGTTTAGATGGTACGCGTTAGTCAAAAGGCTGAGAACCGCTGCTATTATAAGAAGTACTATTTTTGCCCTTAATATTATGTGGAAACCTGTAGCCTACAACATCATGTGTAACATAAAGTTCTAACCTTAATCTACAATGTCATTTTTTTAATTTGGTTAGTTCCACTTTCTCTCCTAGAATAGGGGTATGCATATAATAATTATTTCCAAGTGCGTCACTTCAAAATTAACCTATGCCCTATGATTCTTAAATAACGCTGACGACACATCTACTTACGTAACAGCAAACTGAAAGTAAAATCTTCTATGCAATTAGAATTAAATCGAAACTTTACCAGCAGCATTAAAGCGATAATATCACTCAGTTGCAAAATTCATGTCTTGCCTGCCATAATTCCAGTTTTGGGGATTTTCCCTGCGTGCCTTTAATTGGGAAGGTCATGCTTATTTACAACTGATATATTGCAATACAAAACCCTTACCGGAATTTAATTTCATTTTGGTAGTTTTAACAGATTTTTCTCCTGGATAAGTAATAATGGGCAATTAATTTTATATGTTTGCAATGTCTTACGTCTTAGGAAAGGAAGCACGATGTTAAAAAAAAGTTAAGAATCATTGCAATAAATGCATTGTTGTACTCCATAAATACATGGTACAACGGTTCAAAAAACAGTTCGTAAATGCCATGTTCCCCAAACGGGGACTTCTAAAGAAATACATAACTAATAACAATTAATTTGTTTGGTAAATATACCCAATCATACCTTTATAATGCAAGAAAAAAAAACCTGTTTTTAAAACAAAATTTGACTAAAATATTTTCCAGCAATGCATTAACGAACTGAACCATTCTTAAGCTAATACCAATAGTATAATCTTCGTACGTCTCATGCTTGTCTTTATGCAGATAACATTGTGTCCGCCACTTCTCTTCATAATTTGTTGTACTGCTGTGGACGTATGAAAATACACTTCTAATTAGGGAATACCACGTATGTCGCTTGCATAAGTTTAACATGGCTGCTTTCAAAAATGTAATGTTAAGAGTAAAGAAAGTATATCAATGGACCATGATTTACATTATCCTTGTAATCATACTGCTACCACCATATAGGGTTGATTCAATATCTCATCGCATATAAAGGGTCCGTCAAAATGTGTATGCACATTTTAATGAATGTTAATTCTTTTCTGTGTGTTAGTACTGAATTTCATTATAGATATATACAATTATACATATCATACTTTAGGTTAGGCTTAATTTAATCTCCCTGCACATATACCTCTACAAATATTTAGAGTGCTAAAAGTGTCAAAATGTTATCTATAGCAGGCAGTATGTCGCTCTTAGTGGCCAGGCGCATAGTACAACAGCGAGCGGGTGCTTGAACAACGCTGGTCAATGTGTCCACAGGGATTGCTGCACATGCCGCAGTAATTTCTAGACAAAAAATCTCCAGCATAATCGATATCCTGCGCTAAACGTCCTTAAAGGTTTCCCAAGGCTACTACTTGAATTCATTAGCAAATGTCTTGCGTCACAAATTACAGTCATGAGAGTACCGATAATCAAACACTATACTGCATATATAATGATGATTCAGTTCAACTTTGAAACCAATACACATATACCATATGTTAAAAAACTGTATATACATTTTTCTTATGAATCCGGCACATAATGGCATTAAACTTCAGTCATTTTATTAAGGTGCTTTAAATATTTTTATTTAGGGAAATGCTTCACATTTCTTATGCCAGACTTCACTGCATTTCTATCTCTATGTAATGCGGTCATTCCCAAATAACTGCATAATTTGTTGCTTCTAATACACGTCTAGGAAACCATAAAGTAAAGCACTTTAGATTAAAAAAATATCTTTCTGTTATTTGGATCTATTTGTATTTGTATTTGTATTTGTACTTGTCTGTATCTTTCTTATATTTTGACATTTGTCACATGCTAGTCTAATTTATACGGTATATAAGTTGTAAAACATATATAAGGAAAGATATACAATAGGAAAAGATTAAGTAATATATATAAGAAAAGATTAAGTTGTAAAACTTCTCCTCAATCAATATTTAAAGGCTTAACTTTAAAGGCCAGTAATATTGATGTTATTAGATTATTAGATGCATATCTCAGGCCTCAAGATTAAGGGAAATCTTCCCCAATATTCAATAACCATATTCCCATTTTTGATATTTAGCCATTTTAGATACGTAGATACTGGGGCATCCAGCCGCTGCAGGAAGACGCATTTGCATGTTACGGTACTGAAAGTAATCCCAAATAGAAGCCTGAAATGTTAAGTTCCTGGACTTTAGCTTCTCTGCAGAATCGAAATTAATTAAGATGGAATTGTGTTCTCCTATAAAGCCATTATTTTGTCCAAATATTTTATACTGATTATTTAAAAATATTTCGCTTGATGATGGATAATGGGATCTTAAGCAGGAATACGCATGAGCATTTTTGACCCATTCATTCGCGAAATAGGGTGAACTCGACTGACTGTTCCATTTCGTTTATCTTAAACATGCTGAGTACGAGTAAAAGAATGCGAAATGTTCATTCTAAAAACTGGGAAATGAGAATACAGACATTATTTATACAACCAATTTTTCTAAGGAAACCTTTTTATTCCTACATTATCCTCAACCCTGCTGAATGGTACAATGTGTTTTTAGCAAAGGAATAATCAAAATTGCGTTATCTAAGGTCACACAATATGTGAAATATAGTGAAAATGTAGTACTTAACATCTTGTCTGTTTGATTTCTTTCTTTATGACAGAAAAGAAGGTGTTGAAGCGACAGATCGATTTTAACAGATCAATATGTTTTAAAAATTTCTTTGTCTCGTTTTGAGTTCAGAAACAAAGCAGCGAAGCAGGTGTAGACTATTAGTAAACCATTTTGTATTTTAAAAAATTATCTCTATGATAAGCTTAAGAAATGAGTTTAATTTTATAGGTGCTTCCTTTCCCTCAAAAAGAACTGTTTAAAGGAATAAATGTTTAGTTGAAGTTCCAATAACAATTTCTTAGTTTTGAATTCAGAGGAAGAAATTAGTTTAAAAGAAGAAAGTTATCTGTTAATAAGGATGCTTAGCGTGGATTATGATTAGTCAAAAGTAGCATTCATTTCTATATTTTCTTTCAACACAGACAAATTTTGAATAATTTTGCATATTTATCATATAATGTAAGCATAATTTAATTAAGGTATATCGATCGGTAAGAACAAAATACATAATTTTACCACTATAGCGATCAAGAATAAATAAAATTTAAAATTAACTCAAATATTTCAAAAATATTCCGAAGAACCATAAAAATACGTAAGTAATATTCACAAAATTTTTAACTTAAATAAAACAGCAATAAAATTTTTTAAAAACTAGAAAATTTTATATTTCTCTCTAAAAACCTAATCCATATTTTTACTAAAGTTACTATTATTACTTTTTCATAGCATTTAAATAATTGAATATGTATAATATAATTTATATTTTAGACATTTTTTCCTGAACACAATTAAAAGAAATAATTAAACAGTATTCTTAACACTAATTGAATGCCTTAGTAAATATTTAAGCATTTGGAATTAATTGTTTTATGAAGTTTTCACTTACTTGGTCGAACGTGATAGATGTCTGGATAACTGTAACTACAAGTGAAAACAGCAAAGAAAAAACCCAGCAGCAGATGCGCCCCTGTAATACTAGTTTGGGAAGTCCGCTCAACCATATCTTAGAAATGAGCCGTTCCTGAGTTAGTAAAAAGTGGCTTTGGCGTTAATATGATCAGAGAAGATACGGATGAGTCGTCGCATTCGTTAATATTACGTTACCGAGTAAATAGTTCAAGTAGTATTGGCTGTAAAGTCCGCTCCATGCACGGCTTGCTTTTCCTTGTCTTCTTTGTCAGTACATATTCCTAAAAGGAAATGATATAATGTTTAAATTATAAAACAACAAAATGTTAATTCTCTATTAAATACAAAAAAAAAAAAAAAAAAAAAAAATTGCAGACTTTACCATTTTACGAAACTTCACTTTACTTCTCAAGAAGTGAATTTTTTTTTCGGAATTGAAGAAATTTTGGAGCTTCATTTATTTGGGGCCACCCAACCGGGATTGTTGTTAGTGACTCTGGCTGCCCTATCGAAGGGCCCGATTTCGAATCCTTCAGAAAGCATGGATGTTTGTGAATGTATAGTTTCTTTGCCGCACGGGGCACCCTAAACATGCGGCGAGCCGAAAGTCCTTTCGAAAGATTAGTGCTAGGGAAAGGGGGAAACCCTCGGACCCATCTGCTCGGGCTGCTGCCGTTCGAAATTGCGCAGCGGAACTGAGCAAAGTCGTACTCTTTCTTGTATGGTGGCCAACGCTCTTGCTGACGACAGATAAAAACAAAGAGAGAAAAAAAAAAAAAAACAGAAAGAAAGAAAATGTGAAAGGTTTCAGATTTTAAATTACGTCCGAAGGACCTTTTTTTAACATTTTGTGTGTTACCTTTTTTTTTATTAAATATCATGTTCTTCGCACATAAACCATAAAATTCACTTCAAGAGCAATATCGCAAAATAATTTTAAATTGAACATATCTTTAGAATTTCCGATACAAAGTCTCAAGCGGGAGATAAAAATGTTTTTTCTGTTCAACGTTACCATTGCTCGCTTTGAAATCCTTGATTTTGGTAATCCAAAATTCGTTAGTCTTACAAAATATCAAATCGATAATAAAACAAATTTCAAATTTGGACTTCCAGATGCCCATATTCGCAGCAGGATTAGGCCATTCAAAATTCGATGGCCCTAGGTACCATTGTTTTATCACAATGCGAGAAACATACATTTATGCAGATTCTTCATTATTTAATTTCCTCAACTATAATACAGGGTGATAATATTTCATGGCGACAGTTTGAAAAGTGAAACGAACATTCAGACTGATTCGACGCAAAATCGCAAAAAGAAAACAGTAGTCTCTCAGAGACAAACCCCTTTTGGACTAATAATTCTTTCAATTTTGTGTTCAATGAAAAGATATAATTTTATTGATTTGATATTGAATTTTTCCTTTGCGTCGAGGAGGACTTAAACATTTTCGGATGAACTGTTATTTTTTACAAACTTTAGAATGGTTCATCAGTTTGTTTTAAATACAGAAACGCAAAGGTTTTCGTGGGAAGGCCATTATAATTGGGTCTGATGTTTCCTCCTCTTGATAACGTTACATCAGATCTAATTTAATTCCTCTCTTTTCTTTATTTTTTTTTCTGGTATTGGTATATGTTTTAATTTCACATTTATTTAATTCTCAATTTGTATTTACTGGATATTTTGAAAATAATTAGTATTGTATTTCACTCTTTTTGGGTCTTTGCGTTGAGCAGGTTCTAAATTTCTTACTTTTCTATATATATTATATGTATATTAATGGAAAGATGTGTTTTAGGAAATCGCTAAAAGCATATTGGAGTAACAAAATTTAGTTTGCACCTAAAGACTAATTACAGTGGCAGATTTTTTTGGCCAATAAAATTTACTTCATTTGAACATTTACCGGCAGATTTTCCTTTACCGTTAGCTTTTAGCTTTTAGCTTTAAGAACACAATAAATGTGCGGTTTTAAAATCCTTTAAAACCTGATGTTTACCTGATAACTAACCGATGAACTACTACATTTTAATAATATTCTAACAAGCTTGTAAGATTTTTTAATGTTAATTAACCGATTATTATAATTTTTTGACAACATCTCTTTTCGTAGTTTTTATTATAATCCAAATTAAATGTATTTAAATAAAAAATTTCGAAAGTTCTAGAGATAAAGCTTTTGCAAGGTGTGCTCGCAGCTTTAATTTCTGCCTCCCAGCTCTACTGTTTATATTCCGGCTTTAGCCATTTAAAGTTCTTAGGCGACTTAAGTAGTTTAGTTTTTGTAGATTTCGACTACAATACTTTTAATGTGGAATCTCAGTTTTGTTATTTAAAATACGTACCAGTGGCGGAGTTTATTGCTTGTACGCAGAAGCATTCTGCTTATTACAAGAGTTAACGAAAAGATTATTTAAAACCTTTTTAAGACTTTGTTATAATATTTCAGACAGAGCGATAATTCGCTTATCAGACTAATAGGATTTAAATTACTTTGAGTTAGTTCTACACAATTAGGGTTCTATAAAATTGAGAGGTTTCATATCCCTTATTTTCTTATTATGCTGTTGTAATACTCTACGTACTGACAGCTCTACGTACTGATGAAAATTAGAAATAAAATTTATTCTTATGCCAAAAAATATTCACCTGTGAATTAATTCTTTATGTGCATTCGTCATTCTGATATGCTAGTTTGTTGTGATTTTCATATCGAAATTATTAATTAAAATATTAAGCAATTTACCATCATGTGAAAAAATTGAAATCTTTCATAAACGCAGATATTTGTAGACCTTATAATGTTGCTCGGTACTTATCTAAGTAGAGGAACCTAATGAACTGGGTAGCGACTTATCACTGAGTTCGAGTATTTAACGACAGAATTCAGAGAAGGGTTAAAATACCCTTTATTCACTTAAAAAATTATCACGGATGGCCCCCTTCTCGGGCTTACAGGAAAGCTTCCACCCGGGCTTTTAACTCAAGATAAGAAACTAAGAAACTAACCTAATACTAAGCTAAACAGATTTAGCCGAAGTTAGACACAAAATACCTAACGTAGTTGGCCCTTAATTTAACCTAGCCGTCGGCTATCAACAGGTACGTACAATACGTCTGAGCTTAGTTAGATTTAAAATTGCAGTAGCCTGACTGCAAACTGCAAACACGTACTACTGAGGACTCCTAAGCTCTCGTGAAAAAGAAACTTCAGTCTGAAATTTAGCATCTAAAAAATTAATTAAGCAGATAAGATATGACTCTTTCTAGTTTAAGAATGTCCCAGAAATTAAAAATTGTAGAACATAAAATTTTATAGTTAAAAATTAAGTATGAAAATAGTGGAGTAAAATGCTATAATATAATTTCATCCTAAATCAGCATCACGTAAAGATTGGTGCACTCATTCAATAAAGAAAAAAATAGTCAAGTCTAGGCGTGAATGTCTTTTGTTCTCATGCTCTTCAAACTTGTAACAAATATTTCGGTGGAAAGAGAGCGCTTTATATTTTGCGAGGATACTGAATACGTTAACTTGAAATAAAAAAAGCATCTGCGGGATATTTGGTGACGAATTTAACAATGCCGGTTTTTATTTTAAACGTCACATATTTCCTTTTTTTAAAACGTAAGCATAAAATAATTGTTTAACATAAATACTTTTATAATTAAAGTAATAATGAGTTAAAAGATGATACATATAAATCGTTTCGTTGGCATCATTAATATACCTACGGAAATCAGTCTATCAATAACCATCAGTACTAAAAGATTAGCAATAATTAATCAGTAATTAATAATGACTATCAATTATTGATAGATAATCAATTAGTGATCAATGATTTCAATGGTTCATCTATGAAAATGATTCAGTCAATCAATATAAATCACTTATATCAATGATTCTTCCTAAAATTCCATCTGTAAATGATTTTTCTAAATAAAAATTCTTGCACTTTGAAACAGTTATCCCCCCCCCCCAAATGGCAAGCCCAAGCCGTCTACAGATATTGGCTGCAACTAGGGCCGAAAGCGGTGGTCACTTTATTATAAAGGCGCATAATGACGCTCAAATACATTAGTGCCATCTATTGGATTCGAACCCGGACCCTTCGGTAAGGCAGTCAGAGTCACTAACCACTTTCCCATCTGGGCGGAACAATGAAAACAAGTTAAGATATTTCAAACAGTTTAGAGTAAAGTCCAAGTTTAAGCAGTAGAGTCAGATCCGCCTTGCATAAAAATAATGGTGATAAAAAGTGCTCATCCGAAGACTACACAATCAGCCTAATAACGGAAAGGTCGTTCAAATGCCATTAAAGAGTATTTCATTACATTTACCCCTCATTTACTTGGCAACTATTAAAAACATCACAACCAGATTGATTCAAAATAATCCACCATTTCTTGACCTTGGAGCAACTTTCAAGCGTCGCGTCTCATGTCCAGTAAAAAGAAAAGACACCGATATGATAGTACACCCTTTTATAGAAACATTTTTGTCTGTTGAGAAATAAAAAATTTAGTTACACTAGATGAAGCATGGATTTATTCCTCAAGATGTACCAGAAAAAGAGCGTATTTTTACTAACCAAGAGGAGGTTAAAAATGTTTTAAATGCTTCTTTACTTTCACGCTTAGAAAGTTTCTCAAGAGGATTTAATGTCATAACTAGCTTTTTTGTACATAGGCAAACTTCATCTCGGAGCAAATCAACAAATAAAAATTAATTATGCTTAATATGAAAATTATCTGAGTAAATATTTATTTATGATATCATTGCCTTGTATAGAGATGACGATAAAAAAATAGGCTGGCTTATTCATGAAAACGCGTTTAACCTATATATCATGATAACTGTTATGAAACAAGAAATAAATCGTCAACAAGAAATAAATTAAATAAATCCATGTAATAGCATTCCTGTTAAATACATGAATGCCCTAGCAGTAACTGTTGCGTGTTTGGCCTACTGAAAGGGACATGAGAAGATGGCGACCTATAACTTTAGAGGATTTGTGAAAAACAATTTTTTTAATGAAGTCTAAATATGACTTATTTAATATGGTTTTTTTAAATATGATATTTTTAAGGAAAAAAGAAATTCTTATAATGCAAAACGCGATTGAGAGATATTTAAGAATCAGGACTAATTGAACATATTTAAAATGGAAATATAGCCTTAACCCTAAAAAATAAATCGAAGTTTTGATTTTAAAGCATTGATAATTGTCTGCATTAAAGTTATTCGAAAAAAATTGTTATAGGCTTTAT